TGGAGCATGCAATGGTGCTTAGAGGTCTGTCTCCACATATCCTCCCTCAAATCAGGAAATCTAGCAGGAACTCCGCCTAATGTAGCATCATAAAGCACCTGACCCTGGTGGTTTACCTCCTGCTCTCTTTAAAGATGGTGGCAATTCGCCGGTTTAATAACTCCTCGGTTTGTTCGCAGAAGTTTGGTCAAGAGAGGAGGTTCCATCATTTTAGGGGGAGTGAATGGGCACCACCACTTTCGAAAAAGGCTTGCGCACAATGTGCTCCAACTACAGAGGCATAAATTTGGTTCCCGTCGTCTGTCAGCTCCTGGTGTCCAGCAAACTTCGAAGGATATCCCCAAAGACTAGATTCCGCCTTGTCCGCGGCTGGATCGATCTAATTTTCACACTCCTATAGGTCCTCGAGCTCCGTTATGTGCAGCAAAAGCAAACGACTGCTCTGTTCCTGAGTATCCGTGCTGCGTTCGATTCTGTTGACAGGACTGCATTGTGGCAGTCTGTTGAGGAATGGCGTCCCCGGGAAGTTCGTTTCTGTACTGCGTACTATTGGCGGTCTGACCTGGGGTAGAGTCAGGGCTTATAGCATGCCTTCGCTATCCTCTGTTGTCACAAGTGGAGTTCGAGGTCGCCCTATCTGCTCATTCCTCTTCAATTTTCGCATTGAGGATGTCCTCAAAAATGCTCTAGAAAACCCAATAAACGCTGGCGTTCAGCTCCTTATAGGTATTCGAGTAATTGACTTGGACTACGTGGATGATATCGTCTTGTTTGATGACAGTCCATATGCCGTCCAACTTGCACTTAACCGCTTGATGATTGAAGCGTCAAAGTATGGGATGGCTCTTTCTCCATGCAAGTGCAGAGCACTTTTGCAAGGCTTTCAGGTGCCTGTACCTGCACTCACTCTCGGTGGTGAGACACTGGATATTGTGGAGAGTTTTGTCTACCTGAGAAGCTGCATCACTGCTGATGAAGCTGTTGGATACGAGATTTAGATGGGTATCTCAAGACCTCGTCTCGCCGTGACAACCGTCTATCTGTCAAAGGGCGGGTTTATTGTGCAACTGTCCGCGCTGTACGGTTGCAAAAGGTGGGCTGTTCGTACTGTTGACCTGCGCCTGCTGTCTGCTTTCGAGCACCGTTGCTTGCGGTCAATTGTCCGTGTGTGGTGGTTGCACCACGTAAGCAATGCAAAAGTTAGACATCACTTCTTGGGTGGAAGCAGACAATCGCTAGAGCAGATTGTCTCGCTGCGCCAATTGCAGTGGCTGGGTCGCGCATTGCACATGCCCACGCAGCGTCTTAAGCGTCGTGCAGTTTGCGCTTGCTGGGCAGGGCTGAAGGAAGCGACGTGGAGGATAGCCTATGGCTTGGACAAGCGGCATGAAAAGGCTGACGAAGCAGTTGGCCTCAGTCGGTTGTTCTCGACTCCCTGGTTAGGGTCCCAGGGATACAGTGTCGATGGTTGGAGACCCTGGAAGTTATGGCTCAAGACCGACATCAGTTGCGGACGTGTATCTCTGCGTGTTCCGATGATTCCCTTTTCTTCCTTCAATAAAAGAGTGATAAAAAACTTAAAACTATGAGTGGAACGATGGGCAAAAAAGTTGCCTGTTATTTTCCTTCCTTTCTCTAAACCTGTTTTCATACTCCGCCGTGATTCCGATGACACAATATCTGTACCACGGATTGTGCATTGCGAGATCTAATCACGAAGGCAGTCGCCGAAGTGTGGGAAAAAGACCTCATACATTCTGAGTAGAAGCGCCAAGTGCAGAAGCGGCAAGCAGTGATGGGTTGTACTCCATCGACATCGAGTGCATGGTGCTGTAGCACATACGGTCGAGAGTGCCTGAGTCAGGCAGGCCTAGTGAGCCATGAGCGAGGCCACTCGGGACCACTACGGAAGCGACAACGGGTCCTGCAGCGAAAGTAGACAGAACCGGCGCAGCGTTTGCACGCACGCTACATTCGATTTACTAACCATGTGCTTGCATGCTAAGTCTATTTATTTCAGGTGGTGGGTTTTCAACTATGTCTTAATGCTTTTCTTTCTCATTTAAATGTCTACCTTTTCTCTCTTCTATAAACTTGCACACGTCGTTTAAGCCAATTGTAGTCAATTTCGAAAACACCTTCGCGTTTGTGGCATTTCCGTAAAAAATAATTTCTGACCTCGTGAACTTATCTCGGATCCTTTGTTAACAACTTATTTCATATGCTCATTAAGTTAAGATTTTTGTTACCGTTTCATTATGCATTACTCGATTTATTTTCTTTGTTATCCTTCTCTCAAGTGATTGGCTGTTGCTTGATATCCCCGGTGTGGCTGTGCTTACTGTGCATGTTGACAGGGTGCCTACGTATCTATTACTCATTACCTCGTCCATACTGGCTCCAGGAGACAGTTGCTCGTTGCTGGAGGGGACGGGGTGCACCGTCCTTGTGGCCGTGTTAGGATCAAAGAGTGGTTCCATGTACTCAGTGTGTAGCGGATTACGGTCCAGCCACCGACTTGTATGCGCTTGATTCTCCAAATACAGCGTGCTCGTGTTTGCCTGTGAAGAAGTGTGGGCCGGCTCCGTTGATGAAACGGGGCTCCCATCCACATGCCTCCTGGTCTTATTTCTTCGGGTTTACAGTGGATATGGGGTGTGTGGATGGAGCTGTTGGGGTGTACAACGGAAGCCACCCATGGTCCCTCTGTAGGCGCAGGCATCCTGTGGCTGGCCACAGTGACAGGTAAATCCGAAACCGGATGCCGCCAACCATATATATATATATATATATATATATATATATATATGCCATGCTATAAACGACATTCTATTGTCGAGCAGTTGCGCTGTAACAAAATGATTTAATGACGTTGATGCGCGTCTGTGCCCTCTCACATCTGATGCACTCCTGATGGAGTCGGAGCGGGGTGGTTCGAAGATCAGAGCGACATTATTTGAGCCCATAGTGCCTAACTGGATCGGTTGTATAGTTAGTGAGATGCTACGTTTCGGGCTCTACCCAGCTGCTACTCACAACTGATCACTCTGACAGGTGGCATCTGCGAATCCAGGAAATACGGTGATAGAGGCATGAGTCCGTAAGTAGATAATATTGGCCGTCATTTATGGCGCAGGATAATGCTAAAAGGTCCGCATAAAGAAAATGCAGTGGAATTGGGAACACGTAAAAAGGAACAAAAACATACTAGTAACCCTGCTAAAGTACTTCATTCATTATGCACAAAAGACGAACATGTCCGCCGACGCGAAAGGTTCACCGAATGTGACACGGAGTGCCGATTTATGAAGTGAACGATAAATTACCAGGCGTGTCGGAACTAAAAGTAAAGGATAAACCATAACGAAGGCGAGTGTTATGTGACCTCCACTACAATTAATCATCCCATACAACAAAAGTGCTTTTTGTATGTTCACCTAACGAGATATTTGGGCTGCGAACGTTTCGTCACCAAGCTGGACACTGATGAACTACAAAATACGCAGCTCAGAGGATAACCAAACACTCTCATCAGGACCACAAGTAACAATCAATCAAAGGTGCTTTTGTTTTTATCTCCATGGCTTTCGAACATTGATCTAAGGGGAGAAACGAAAAAGGACACATCATTAAGAGTACTAGGTTAACGCCGTTATGGACAACACAGACTATGTTAGCAGTGAAATAGACTGGACGGCAATGGCATGCCCGTAATGTACATGACACAGTCCTTATGGTTCTTTCCGGCAAGCCTCGGTCGGTGATAACTGACTCAGATACAATAATCGCTGGTGGTGATGTGACAGCGGTCACACACACACACACACACACACACAATGTTGCAGCTGTGCTGTTCGAATGGTAGCTGGCACACAAACGAAGGGTAGCTAGGATTAGTTACGGCCATCGTCCGAAAATAAATTGGCGCAATTTCATGAGAATCTGGAGTCGATGTGCTTGTAAACGGACAAGACGGATGGTGTGCGATCCCAGAGGACAAGTATTCCGAACATCAAATGTAGATGACATTTCAGCTCGTGTGCCAGAGGCGACACTACTTTCGAGCTACATATTGAAATAACATGCTGACTCTTTTTGGTACAGGAAACTGCATATCAGACTGGGCGATATCAAGAGTTTAATCGAGCACAATGATTCTTTGATGGCGAGCTTGACAAGAAGGCATGGCTAGGTAGTTTGCCGAAAAGTTGTCAGTGATGCAGGAAGCTATTGGTACCGTAACGCGCAGCCTTCGCTTCAATATTCAACGGTCATCTGCGCGGCACTGTGCTACTGAAGGTGAATCCCATCAATCAAACTGGAGTTGATTGTCCTTCACCAAGTGATTCGGATCAGCGAAGTACTCCCGTCCGACTGGAGTGTACCACTTTTTAAAAGAGATACTCGAACAAACTGCGTTAGCCATTGAGGAATTAGTCTCTTTAACGTTACGCCTAAAGTGTTCGCTTTCCTGAATTTACGGAGACTTACTCTGGTTTGCGAACATAATATACGCGAAAAACAAAATGGGTTACGTTCTGGCGGAGCTGTATCGATTACATATTCGATTCACCAGATACACGAGCATCGTGAACGTTCGGTCGGCGAACGATCGTCGCTCTCTAAGACATACGAGCCGTTTTTAACTCAGCTGTGCGGGTTGCTTCTGGAGCTATCTGTTGAGAAGAAAAATGCTCGAGAGGTTTGTCAACATTCGTGAAGAGGTTTGCTTTCGAACCTCGTACCGAGTGACAGTGTACGGCAAATTACCAAAGTAATTAAACAAATATGAAGAGTATTTAATGTATCCAATGTAGCTTGTGAGCTGCTGGGACGAATCCATTCAAATTACAACTAAAATCCTCCTACTCATGAGTAAATTTGTTGAGAATTGTGCTGCACGGTGACAGATTCAGCAAGCAGGAAGGAAGCCGTACTTGAAAAAAGAGTGGAGTATCGTGATAAATACGACTGACGATTATTTTCAAAAGGAGAGGAGTGTGGCAATGCACAGTATAACTTTATATTCAGAGTCCCCCTGGGCGTAACATTGTAACGAGCGCTAGGTGAGCTTGTTAGAAGAAAGTGATGTCAACGTCGGTCTGCGTGTGATCAATCTGAATACATCGGAGCAAGACAAGTGAAATGAGGTGAAGTCGAGATCACCAAGTAATAGCCAGACCATTCTTGCTTTCCGGACGGGACTGAAATCGACACCAGTACAGAGGAAGGAAAGTGTACGAAAAACACCTGGTCCCAAATATTCCCGGATCGGTATATGCGTGAAGTAAGACATAAACCCATAACGAAATGTAATTGCAGGTGGAACGGATGTCAGTTTTCCAGCAATAAAACGATGGAAATCCAGAGGGATCTGTTTGCTTCCCCTTTGTGCGCAGCAGCATAAGATGCAACCAGTAGAAATGAGCGGCACCGGCCGACGCAACTGAAAATCGTAGTAAACAAGGCTAGTAGAAAAGACGTCATTACGACAGATGAGCCAATTGTAGGCAGGTAAACAGAACACAAGGTTGAACAGCCAATAATCTGGCAAACGGTGATACACAAAGGAGTACTCAGGAGGAAAGAATTGCAAAATGAGTAATGATGCAGACTAGACACAGTTGGTGCGTAATGTGTTCCACAACTGCACAATGTCTCAGGGCACAAACAAAACCAGGTAAGGATTCGGACCATGTGAATTGTGTCTCACTGACAGCCCATTAGCTTAGTGCAGAAAATCCAAGAGGTTTCAAAGTCTATTAATGTAGCTGAAAAAGAATGACGCTTCGAAAGCAGTCAAGCTGTGCTTTCAGAGAAAAATGGAATATAAATGACTTGAGAGATAGCATTCCTGTCCTAGAATTGGTCGAGATGGGAAACGGCGTACTGATAATCGTAACAGGCAAGCTTGAAAAATAAAAGCCATGTTTATTATAAACGTGGAGCTATACAAATAAGAAGCAGCACTGAAAAATCATTTAGAAGACAGGCACGAAACATCAGGATTCACTTAGCTTGCTCGAAAATTCGGGACATGTGGAAAATGCGGCTCAATGAAGACTACACAGATTTAGCCTCCAGATGCGAGTTAAAGGAAGGTGGTTCGAGGAAAGGTTCTGCTGGAAATCCGATATAAAGATCAGAAACGTTGAAAAAAGGATTGGATGGGAGATCATCTGGGCTCACTGGGTTTCTTGAAAACGCCATACACACAGCTGTATTCATAGGAAAGCATCGAGGCCGGATTTTGAGTGTAGCCACACTGGATACCCGTTTCCAGTTTCTGAAGATGGGGCGAGAATAGAATGTGGCATCAGATGCAAAGCCAGAAGCAAGAAGAAAGCAAACGAGACGTCGAGTAGCTTAGTACCTTGTGTTGGGCTAAGAAAAGTTGCGACAATATAGGAAGCATGTTATATAGTTCGCTACCATAAGCCAAAGTGAAATATTGCGGAGATTACAGGAGTGTCAAAAGCTATACTAGGCAGCGAGAGGAAAGAATTATGAATCAGTAGTCACTACATAATTACGAAGAAAATAAAGTGAATAATGGTTATGGTTTAGTCTGACGAGAAGCGCCACAGGTGAACAACGAGAGGTATAACCGGCAGTGCTACCAGTAGACTAACAAAAGATAATGCTTGAAAACAAAAGCGCAGTCTAACTCCGTGGTGACTCGCAGTGATTGTCCGACTTGCTGAAAAAATCAATGCAGTCATGCTTACGACAGTTTTCTCATTCCGCGCGATGCGGCTCAAAACGATCATACACCCAGCGATGTCTCAATCCCAACAAATTCAGTTGCCAGACAAGCGTAAAGTGGTGATGATAGCACCTACTCGAACAATGCAAGTAGGCTGAAGATGAATGCATTTATGTCAACCAAAAGGACGTTTAGCGCCCGGAACGGCAGAGTCCGCTGATAAAAATGGCAGTTTGAAAAGAGACCAAACAATGAGGAGGTAGGTGACTGAGTCAAGTGAGGGGCCTGCTATTCCCCGAAAAGACGGTGCTTCTGCTGGACATCAATAATTCAAATCAGTTTCGTAGGGAAATAATGGGACTTCAAGAGAGATTTCACTTCCGCCGTGACGATTCCCCTCCGGAGAACTCGGCTGAGGTGCTTTGGGTTCTTCATCAGCCGGTGTGTCTGGATCGAAATGCCGTCGGAAGAAGCACTGAACTGTCGGGCTGCATAGTTCGCCTGAATCCAGCTGTCTGTGACAATACAGAGGGTAGAAAGGGTCTATAGGCTTCGTGGTGGTGAGTCAATGAGCACTTCAGCTCGTAGACTTTACGGTGAATAGCAGATCATGCAACGGTTCATTTACAAAAAGCTGGCTTCAGGATTAAGTGCATACGACGCCTGATTACATCCTTTGATTTGACTAACTTCGATGAAAGGAATGTATCCATTCGGATTTGATTCAGTGAATAGTGAGGTCCTAGTCTTTCAATCCAGTCGATTCCGAGAAAGCTTGGTTCCGAACAGTCCATCGGATAGTAGATTGTAGCTCGTATCACTTCAATAAATGCAATCTTTGGATGGATTCTCTAACCATTTTCAACACACCGCCAGACGCGCTGTGAGCCGCTTCACCACAGGTCACAATTCGCGACCTAGCGCACGTATTTTTAACATTTAAGTCAGGGGCACCGGGAAACTGTCGCTACGAAGGAATCCGTTAATAAATGAGGTGCTGAAGCATTGTTGGCGTCGAAATTCACTGTGGAAAACGGCTAAGAATGACAGAGTTTGCAAGGGTATCTTCGACATTCCTCTTCGACTGGCACTTTTTCAAGTGCGTTGGACGAACTTGTTTGCAATATTCTTTCATGTGGGCTCGTTTGTGGCACTCATGACAATACGTACCACTTGTATAAATAAAATGATGCAAAACATTGCTCGCCGTGAGACCAGCAAACGGTAGACGGAATGTTTTGAAATTCCTGAGTGTGCTTGCTACCGCGCGGACGTTTCGTGGCTGTGTGAAAGAATCCTTCGCAACGGTAGAAGCGCCATGCTTCTAAGTCGGGGACTGCTTACCTAATGATGTGGGGGAGGGGATCAGTGTCGCGTCAGGGTGTTGAACCAACTTAGACGGCAGCAGAGTGTCATGTCAACTACTTTCAGGGACGGTAAAGCACCGATAAATATGAAAAACGTAGATTTGTCATCTGTAAAAGGGGACATATTAAAATTTTCACGCTCCCTGCTGAATATGTCCGATACTATCTCATAATCGTTGGCGTCAGACCATCAGACAGTGATAACGAAGAATGCATACCGAAGAGGATTCAAAAAGCCCCAATGAGTTGCGATTAGGAGAGCAAGAGAGTTTATAGTTTGGTCAGGAATTGTGAGTCAAATCAGGGATCAAGTGTAGAAGTATGCGGCAAGTTCGCAAGAATTTCGGGGGACCAAAGAACCAGTACGTCAGCCGTTCAAACTGATGCTTCGATGCCTTACAACCATGGTGACTTACGGAACGAGGGACAGAAAGCGGACCTAGTGGAAAACCTTTATGCGCTATGCAAACATTCCAGGCCAAGGTGTTTAAACCTTGTGTCAACAACATACAGTTACAAACAGCTGGCTAACTTGCAAAGACTATGTGGCATCGACGAGACAGCTTCCTTGCAGCTTTCACTGCCCCGCATCAGAATTAGGCATTACCCCGCAAATAGAAAGCACTCCAAACAGACAGACACGCCACTGGTGCCAATTGTAAGCTATGTCCTGTAGTGTCTTGAGCCAAGTACAAAGCCGGTCACGTGGACCCCGTCTGGAAGGTAAGAAGGGCCAACGGCACTTAGTTTTGCAGTCAGTGATTTGATTTTCCGCTACCAAGTTAACTTCGGCAAACTTCGAGATAGGACATCTGCAAATTTTGCGCCGCATGGTACCCGAGCTCCCGCGAACAGTGTTAGGCATAGGGTCAGAGATGCGCCAAATATGAAAAAAGGAAGCAGTTTGCTCGTTGCTCCTGATCAATCAATGTGAGTGCGGTCGTTCGTGACAAGTCACTCGCATATGCAGAACATTCAATCGGCAAAGTGTCCCGGAAGGCGCCGCAAAAAAGTGTCCACGCAAATCTGTTGATTGAAGGCAAAGCCGTACGATTTCAGTTACACAGGTACTACTGTCAACATTCCACCAAGGAAGCACTGATATCTGCAACACTGAATCCTCAACCACTCATCAATACCAACAAATGAAGCTCTCAACAGATACAGAACTGTATGCCGTTTCCGGGGGCGAAGCAGTGACGGCTACTACGGTGGGACGAGACATCTGCAAATTTTGTGCCACGCGACATCCGAGCCCCCGCGAACAGTGTCCGGCGTGGGAACGGAAATGCGTCAAATGTGGAAAAAGGAACCATTTTGCTCCTTGTTGCTAATTAACCAATGTGAGTGCGGTCGTTCGTGACAAGTCCCCCAGCAACGTGTCTCGGAGGGTACCGCAAAAATGTGTCTACACAATTCTTTTGATCGAAGGCAAAGCCGTACGATTTCAGTTAGACACAGGTACTACTGTCAACATCCTACCAAAGAAGCACTGTCTCGGAGTGTGCATTCGATCCGACTAAGATTGCTTGCGCATTTAGAGTAGTTCCAAACTTCATCCGAAGAGCTGAGTTGCAATCGAAGTCGTTAGTCCAAAAGATGGAGCCTCACATTGACGGAAGTTTGTGATCGTGGAGGAGGAGCTCACGCCGATTCTCAGCATTGATTCGATGCAGTTTCTCGGTTTTGTTTTTAATCATGGTCGTTTTATGCATGTTTGCCAAGGAGAAAACGATATTAGTGACCAGTATCCGTCTGTGTTTAGTCATGGTTTGTGAACATCTGCAAAAATCGCTCACTTATCCTTAGCTCCTCTGATACGACCAACTGCGCTATTAGCTAGGAGAGTTCCATTTGCGCTGCGTGACAGTTTCCCGCTGCATTGAGCAAATTAGTGAGAGGGTGTAATCGCCAAATTCGACGAGCTAACCAACTGGGTTGGTCAGGTCGCAATCATTACGAAGAAGACGGGCGAACTGCGTGTGTATTGATCCAAAACCGTTGAAAGAGACCTTGCGTAGAAAGCATTATTCGCTACCTACCCTAGAAGATATTTTGACGCGTTTGGCCAAAGCTAAGTGTTTCCCGAAAGTAGACCTCTCCTCGGAAGTCTGGCACGTGGTTCTAGATGATGAATGTAGTTTCCTTACTACTTTTGCCACACCGTTCGGGCGTTATCGTTGGCTGCGTTTACCGACTGATTTGAAGGTGTCGAGGGAAATTTTTCAGAAGCGATTGGTACAAGCGGTAGACTATTTAGATGGTGTGACATGCGTGGCAGACGATGTTTTGATTTACAGCTCCACAGAAGAAGAGCATGACGCTAATCTCCACCGTTTCTTACAGCGTTGTGTGCAAAAGAACATCAAGCTTAAACGTGGAAAAAAGTGAATTTCGGTATGACGTGATTTTCCATGGGCATTTGCTAACAACACAAGGGGTTAGGGTCGATCCATGAGAAATTAAGGCAATCCAAGAGATGTCGCCAGCTAACGACGTGAAGGGAATCCATCGCTTAAACGGTATGGTGAATTACTTGATTCGCTCTATGCCAAGACTTGTTGATATCATGACGCCGATCAGGAAGGTAACTCACAAAGGAGTAAAATGGAGGTGGGGAAAAGAACAGGAAACCGCATTCGAAACTATTAAGCACCTCATCAGCAACGCGCCTGTACTCGGATATTACGATCCAGAGCAGTCGCTGGAGGTACACTGTGACAGTATTCGGGACGGAATAGGTGCTGATCTCTTACAGAATGGAAAATCTTTAGATTGCCGCAGCCGAGCATTCACCGTGACCGAGCAACGATAGGCGCAGAGAGAGAGAGAGAGAGGAGATACTTGCGATAGTCTATGCCATGAAGCGTCTCAGCGAATATACTTTCGGAAAAGAGACAACTGTGTATACCGACCACAACCTGCTTGTGTCAATAGCCAGGAAACCGCTGCACGTCGTTCCTCGTCCTCTTCAGCGTATGCCTATCTGGCTTCAAAAATACGACGTGGATATTGCGTACACGCCCAGTGCACAGATATTCATCGCGGATACACTGTTAAGAGCTAATTGGCCGGTACCCGAGCATAATCCGGAAGAGGTCGAAGCAGTAAAGTTAGTACAGTATCTGGCAGTGACTGAAGATTGCGTAAAGGAAATAAGGCATCACACAGAGGAAGGTGCAACAATTCCAGCTTTACGAGACGTTATTCTAA